GGAACCACTAGTAATCCTGCAGATTGAGAGAGAAGTGCTCTGTTAGGAACATAAGGAACAATCAGATCATCATAAAATATTTTCGAATATGCTCCGTTCCATCTTTTAAAAAAGGTCTAAAACCTTTAGATATAAAATGAATCTATTTCCCCATATTGACCCTGACAGAAGTAGAGGATGGATGGATCTGTATGATTGTAGTGAGAGGTTATTTACAGTATTTAACAGTATTGCTTTTTTCTGAAAGCTAATTGTTTAATAGCCAATTGTTTTATGTGAAAGTGGAGTAGAAGAGATTTTAATCAAATTACTTATTTAACAATACATTTAGGGACACAATAAAAAGGAAACAGGGTTGATCCAAAATTTTAACCAATAAATCATAATGGTTCTTCTGTGAAAGACAAACAGAACAAATCTCTGACCCTGTTTAATGTGGAGTTCATCTTTATTTGATTAATAATTACTATTATGGTGTATTAGGGCCATTCAAAGACAAAAAATATTTTTAGTTTAAAGTGGGATTTTTACAGCAATAAACAAGCAAATTTAGGAAGTTAAAAAATAAAAATATAGAGAAAAAGTATCAAATTAAAACGAAAGAAACGTGCAGGTTTAGGAGTAAAAAAGAAGCAAATTTGTACGCTTTAAACATTAGCGAAACAATGCCAGATTATAATACACTTTAAAGTTAAAGTATGCTACAGAAAGCGATGGAGTGAGACAGTAAAACCACCTCATGGAAGTTTTTAAAGTAAAAATGAATAATACAATAAATTAGCATGTATAATCTCAGAAATTTGCATGTTTTTACTCATGAATTTAAGTTTTGGTCTTGTAAATTTTCTACTTTTTTCCTTATAAGTTTGCATATTTTTAATCTCTTAAATATGCATGTTTTATTCTTATAAAGTTGAGCATTTATTCTTGTACAGCATGTTTACAATCACGTAAATTTGGTTGTTTTCACTTGTAAAAATGCAACTTTGAACTCAATTATTTAAATTCCATATATTTGTTTTTACTTTTACTTTTACTATGCTGTCGTATATTAGAAACAGCCGTGTTCTTTTGAGGATGGCAAAAATACACATTAACAAATGAAGATTATTAACAAAAGAAAAATACAAATAGCAGGAGATTTGTGTCATATTTGTCTTTTTTTAAACCTTTTTAAGAGATGAAAAAAAGGTTTTAAAGTCATTAATAAAGCAATGAAAGGAGGGTTTAGCATTTCTCCATTTAGCACAGTGGATATAATATTTACCCAGCAGCAGGATGATATTAATAGTGTCAGAAACATGGGAAATGTAAAAATGACATTATTAAGGGAAAATGGGGATCATCATTCATTTTCAAAGATATGCAATCTTTCATCTGTTGCGAGTTGCTCAAGGGTTTCAACGTTATCTTTACAAAAGGAACAACCTTATAACCAAACCTTTTTTTATTCTTTAATTTGAGAATAGGATACATTTTGTGTATAACTTTAAGGAGTGTTTCTTTGACTTTAGGTAGAATAGGCCATTTAACGCATTTTGAGAATGCTGACTGTATCTGAACTAACAGCAATATCTCTTCCAAGTAAATCTATCATAATCCTGAACTTTTCAAGAAACTGCTAATTAATTTATTATTATTTTATCAAACAGATGTGAAATCAGCAAGCTATATAATATATATTATATAACAGAAGTTTTGATCAAGTGAATTAAAGGCAGTTTGCTAAAGTTTCTTAGAGAAAAGTTTACATCATTTAAAAAAATAAAATAAAATGTGAATGAATTAGTTTGACGGCTGTACATTGTGGGGTAACGATATGATGACGTAGGACTTCCGGCCACCGGAAGCAGTTAACCGTTTCCGGGTCGCCGGTCGCCATGTTTGAAACGGCTAAGCTTTATTGTGCACGTCACCGGATTGTTCAGCAGAGAAGTTTAAATAAAGAGCTGCAGCTTTGAATGAAAGGTAAAGAGGAGCTGGTCTCCTTCAGCGCGTTTCCTTTGGAAAAGCAGAGAGGATAGCATTAAAGCTAAAGCTAGCCGAGTTAGCTTCTCTCACATTAGATGCTCTGCTGCAACATTTAACCCTCTGCAAAAACAAACTCATCCTTTAGATGTTCCTCAGTGCTGCTCTGCTAAAGCAGATAATCTCCCATCCAGATTATCCAGCTGCTGAGTTCATGTCAGGATTACAGATTTAACAGCCATGCTTGGTGTCCTGCTCCATATCAGCGATTAAATCCAGTCTAACAAATCTGCCGTTTTTAACATGGTTGTTTTTCTCTCTTTTTGTATTTTGATATAATTTTTGTAATCTGTTTAGGGACTGTAGATTTTCTACCAGATTATAATCTGGAACTGTGCGTCAAATGGTCTCAGATTACATTGAAACTGTTCACTGTCCTTTTGTAAATAAAGTTTATAATAACATTGGAAGCTCTGCTTTCTTAGAATACAATAAAAATCATTTTATTGTCCCACAATTGGGAAATTCTGGCTTTACAGCAGCAAAAATATCTCAGAAAAATGTATAAGAATGAAATAATATGAAGGGCTGCCTGGTTCTGCTGGAGGTTTCTTCCTGTTCAGAGGAAGTTTTTCCTCTCCACTGTCGCTGCAGGATTGCTGAAGAGTCAATAAGTCGATGCAATCAGCTGGTTTTCCTTAGATAGAAAACTTTGAATCAATCTGACTGGATGATCTGGTGAACTGGAAAGTGACCTGAGATGACATGATGTGAATTGGAGCTATAGAAATAAACTGAATTTAAATTTAATTGAAGAGTTAAAAGATAAACAATAAAATCCTTTACTGTAAAGTGCTGTAATGATTTTAGACTGTGCACCTGTAGAATAAATAACCAATATACAGCCATGGGCATTTTTACAGTGATGGATATTACCTGTGAAAAAGTTTGAAATGAGAATATTTGTAGCTTTTTACGGTTATTTGGACCCGCTGTGTGAGCAGACTGTTACAGATTAAAACATGAGTGAAAAGTCAGAGTTGAAGCTGGTTTTTGTCTGCAGAGCCGCCATCAGGATGATGGAGCTCCCGGACTTCAGCAGGCAGCTGATGCAGCAGCTGTGGACCCTGAGGAAGGAGGGTCTGTTCTGTGACTGCACCATCCGGGTGGGAGACAGTCCCTACCCGGCTCACAAAGTCATACTGGCCGCCTCCAGCATGCTCTTCAGGTAGAGTTGACCTCATATTTCTACGATAAGCTCTGCTTTCAACTGATACAATTGATTCATGTCGAATAAAAGCGATGAGTTTGTAGTTGCAGTTTGAAACCTTGTGAAACGGAGATGTTTTAAACGCTGGTCCCTTCGCTCAGGTCGCTGCTGATCGGCTCTGACACCATCTCCATCGACACCGACGTGGTTTCCTCCCAGGAGTTTGGCTCGCTCTTAGAGATGCTCTATACCGGCAAGTTACCTCTTGGGAAACACAACGCCAGCCGCATCGTCGCCGCCGCCGACAGCCTGCAAATGTTAGATGTAGCCGTGGGCTTTAAAAAGGTCGTCAGCGCACTGGTGGGTCAGAAAGCTCCTCAGCTGGAGCAATCCATGCAGACGAGCAGCCAGCAGAGCCCTGCAGGGTCGGCCTCCCCAACGAAGGAGGACTCGGCTTCGGAGCAGATGGAGACGACGGCTGAGCTGGAGGAGAAACGTTACCATGACTACAAACAGGAGGCAGAGGAGCCAAGTGAGGATCTCTCTGACACCTCGGGTCAGTTTCCTCCTTCTAATCACATTAATATTTGCTTTTCATCATAGGCAGCAAAACGCAGCGCTCCATAAGAACAAAACAAAGTGACCACAATAATTCATGGATCCTAAAATAATTGAATCCTAAATCACTCATAAATTTTCTGAAACCGCTCCACAGCCTTTAAGCTCAGAACGCACCAAATCCAGTTTGGCATCTGATCTAGAATATTGTGCCTCAGAGGTGGTGGCGTTTAGCGCTGATTGAAAGTCAATGTGGACGATTTCCAGCAGGGGGCAGCGTAGCTCCAACTGAGATAGAGCCCAGGACTATTTTAGTCAGACTGCGCAGCAATTCAGCAGCAATTTCATGGGTCTGTCAGGAAGAGAGACGCCATTACAAAGAAAAAAACATCCGCTTTGGGGGAAAATCCAGAATAAAATGTGTTAATCTGACGGGAAACAGTCAGTTTTAAGCCTAAAAGTAGACAGGGTGTCTGCCTCACGGACTAAAACTGGTAGTTGGTTCCACAGGAGAGGAGCCTGATAACTAAAAGATCTGCCTCCCATTCTACTTTTAGAAACTCTAGGAACCACTAGTAGTAGAAATATAGATCTAAGTAAATATTTCATCCAGGGAAGCTTTTGATAAGCTCTGTTTCTGATGAAAACATGGGATTCTTTCTTTCTTAATCATTTACAGGACTGGAAAAGGCAGGAAGTCCAGGGAGAGCAGTAGAAGACGGCAGCACCTCTGCCTCAGAGGAGTCCGGGGGAGCCGCCGCTCAGCTGCTGCAGTCGTCCTCTCAACTGGTGGAGCTCCTCAGCAGCACTCCCTCCGTCCTGGAGCTGCTGAGGCAGGCGGCACAGAGCGGTCTGGATGAACGGGACAGACAGGTAGCACAGGTGTGAAGTATTACCAGGATGGTGGGAAGGTGCCTGGCTGTCTCCATGATGGATAAACCTGATTACATCTGTTTGGTTCAGGCTGTAAGCGAGTGCTATGAGGACGTGGAACCAGGCGCTGCGTTGGAGAAGCTGATGGGCAAACTGAGTACCGGAAGGATCAGTGAGGAGTCGCTCCTTCGGCTGCTCCAGAACATCCAGAGGAAAGCTCTGTTGACCTTCCCTCCCCCGCTGGCCTCCCTGCTGGAAGATCTGGACGGTCAAACGCTGCAAGGCGAAGGTAGAGAGATTCACTGGGATCTGTTTCCTGTTATCTGTGGTTTTCTACGTCTGACCTTCCTCTGGTTGTGAGCAGCCGTCAGTGAACAGCCAGACGACTCCATGAGGGAAATAAAGTCAGAGGGAGCGGAGGCCAATGAGGAAGAGGAGGCAGCTAATGCTGAAGCAGACCTCTCCGCCTCCAAGCGCTTCCCCTGCCGATGGTGCAAGAAGGCGTTCAACTTTAAATGCCGGATGCTAGCCCACGTCAAGCGCTGCTCCATGTCCCAGGAGTGCGAGGTCCAGTGTCCTCAGTGCGCCAAGAAGCTGCCCAGTCAGCGAGCTCTGCAGCGACACCGCGCCGAGGTCCACCGCAGCACGCCGCGCGTCAAGAAGAGGGTGGCGTGTGACATCTGTGGGCGCAGCTTCGCCCACCCATCAGGTGAGAACCACTGTGACCCGGAACATTCCATCTATTTGCAGATGTGGTTTACACAAATACCTGTCAACAAAAGATTTAGAATTCCAACCGACATGTCGGACTCTTCATCATCGGAAACTAGAGGCTCTGACCTTTCCAAGGAGGGGTCAGAGGTCATTGTCTGACCATCTCCAGAGCAGCAGTAACACATGCATCCTGGGTCCCAAATTAACTATTAGAATTTTACAGAACATTTCTACTATTTCAAAACGAGGCTAACAGAGTAGGAAATAATGTTG